TTGAGGCCGGCAGATGAGACGATAGTGATGAAAATTGCGGCGGCGGCTGGCGGTGTCCAGCGGCGTCTGGCGGTGTCAGGCGGCGGTAAGGGGCAGCTGATGGTGGTGACTGGTGCAGGTCCTGTCCCCTGGACTCGTCCGGCGACAACAAGACTGGAGTCACTAGTGGAAAAAGAGCTTTCTATGTCGGTTAAAATCGACTTTTAATGTCGGTTCTAGACCCGACATAGATTCAGGCGACATAGAAAGTGGGCACTTTTCGTATGGGGTGTAGGAACCGTTATTGAAGGTATTTTATGTCGGTCACTTCCAGACCCGTTATAGAATGTAATACAATTGAACTTAGTTTTCAATGTGGGTAAAAAATAACCATTATTGAATATAACCTCTCTTACCAGGAATTATTAGAATATGCTTTATATACTACTTTTGTCCATGTTTTAAAATTGCAATTCAACAACAAAAATGGCAACATTTAAGAGAATCATATCAATTGCATACTATAAATCATTGTAATCACAGATACAATATTCACATAATCCCTCATATTCTACCAGTAGTATTCAAAACATATTACATATGGGTTGCAGAACTGCTAATAACTTTCACAGGAAATACTATGCGTAGTATATAACATTTGTGTAGTAGTGTCACTGAAGATGATGCCCGCTACTCTCACGTCTCGTCAACATCATCACGTCGAGTGAATAGATTTGAACGTTTAACACCTGTAGAATAAATAGAAAAAGCAAGCACAAGTAAAACTGCATATTAGAAAAAGTAGAAGCATAAGTAAAGCATGTAAAACTGCATAATTAGAAAAAGTAGAAGCATAGGTAAAACAAGTAACACTGTATAATTAGAAAAAGTAGAAGAATAAATAAAAATATAAATATAAGTAATAACAAGTAAATTATAAAACCATCACAAGATCCCATTTTTTTCTTTAGGAGTACAATTAGAATGTTTACAGGAAGGCACAAAACAACAAGAATGTTTACTATGCCTTTCAACAAGAGAAATACAATATCCTGAATTGATTATATCAAAAGCAGTAGCTATGCTTAAATTGTTCGTGTTTTACATCCATAGTACGGAGTAATAGTTAATTGTCTCTTGAGCAATGTGCAATGAATAAACACCATAGTTCTAAATGAAAATACAGCTATATGAGTCTGGAACTACATAACTCATGCATATTATCACCTTAAAAACAAAAACAAATTGCAACATTTTATACATCTCCATAATAGAATGAAAATTCTAACCACTAGTGATTAAGAGCTTACCTCCACGTTTAGAATAAAGTTCTGAATGTTGAGCATTCATGTCATTAGGAAGTGAAATATCTATGTCTTTAACCTGTTCAAAATTCATATTAAACTGCTAAATTCAGTTATCATGATAAAGTACTTTTTAGGGAATATTTAACCGACCATCAAACTAAATGCGGGGCTTTGTCTAGCAATCTAAGCACTATAAATTATAGTTGACTTTATGAACCATATAAGGGAACCGTACACTGCATTAAAATCATTCCTCATCTCTATAGCATCTCATTTCTTTGTTACTTGACTCACACCATATCTTTCATTTCATATAATCTCTTGGCAGCAGAGATTTTTCATAGAAAAATATAAAGTAATAGATTTCGTTTTTATACTTGGGGAAGAAACTGGTTTGATACACTTCATTCCTAACAGTATTCATCAACCCTATATAATCTCACTTCTTAGTTCTTTACCTGTTTCACACCATATGCCTCATTTCATATAATCTGTTGGCAGAATAGATTTTTTATAGCATAAATTAAGTAATATGAGACCATCATCACATATCCTAATGGCCCTTTGGTTCCACCTCCTTCAACGAATAATCACAAATGAGTATAACTTATTTTTAACCAACTCTTCTTTTTTTCCTAGTCCAATAAAACTTACATTTTGAAGCCATTCATATGAAAGTCTACGGCTTTCTCAGAAATATATTATAGTATAGAAGTTAAAAGTATACTAATAAAAAAATCACACTATCTAACTTTAAAGAAAATTGACATGCACAAACAAAAAAGATGCACAAAATAGAACCAGTAAGTGCACTTGTAAATATTTAATATGAGAGTACTTATTATCTAATAAGTGTGTGTATACGTGTGTGTGTAGCAAAGAAATGATTAGGGGCACACACAGAGGATTCAAACTGTCTACATAAAAACCTTAACGATACAAATTAGGTTAGAGAATCCCTTCTTTTTACCCTGGATTTGGACAACTAATGCCATTTCATTCCCCATCTCTACTATCTGTCCATCCTTAGAATGACTTCCATCCAGCTGCTACTCACAAAAACAATGGAAGCAGAACTAAAAACCAGGCCAATGTAGTCGTCAATTATGTTCATTTACCCTGTACAATCCAACCAATCCAGTATATTTTGTGTGGAAAATAAAAGGATTTGAAAACTATTATGCTAAAATTCATTAGTGTTTCGTTGATATGCACAAACACAGAGCAAAGAATCATATTTTACCTAGATATGGTGGAAGATGGGTGACTCATGATGGAAGATAGAGCAGCTGTAGGTGATGGAACTCCGGCTGTTAAGGTCATCACTACGAGCAGTGTAAAGGAGCATCATGGAAGAGCAGTAGTAGTGGAGCAGCGATGTTTGATCAGCGATGGTGGAACGACGATGTTTGAGAATTGATGATGGAGAGGCGATGTTGGAGCAGCGATGGGGAGCGGCGATGTTGGAGTAGCGATGTTGCAGCAGCGACGGTGAAGCGGCGATTGCGGAGCAACGATGTTGGACTTGGAGCAACGATGGTAGAGCGGCGCGGCGGCATCCATTACAACTGACTAGGGTTAATTTTTTATACGATAGTAGCACTGCTCCCCAAGTGAAGGTCATCCGGAGTAATTCTGAAAGTATTTGTCCGGAACAAGATCTTTCTATGAGGGGTTCAAAAAGAACGGACGTAGAAGAATATTTTTAGAATTCACAAAAAAGACACCGAATGTAATTTGTTTTCTCGAAAATTAGAAATATGACCCCGTTTTGATTTTTGATGTCGGTGTTTCTTAAAATCGTTATAGATGATGTTTTTTATTTTCACTTCTTACCCGCAGAAGTAAGATGAATTTTTCATTATTTATGAATTAAACCCCGCGCCTTGATACTATAACGGTTCACATACAACCCATACGAATTGTTAGTTATAGAACGTGTATTTTGCACTAGTGAGTGGGCAAGAGGAGAAAATACGTCGTTGTTGCAAACTCATTAAACTGGAATTCATTTATTTATTATTCTATTGTACTATATAAATTGGAATTCATTAAGGGCATTCTCGTCCCTTACTATTAATTTCCGTGTGGCAAACTAGAGGTGGGATTGGAGTCCTACTTTTGCACAATGGATATGTTTTACTACTTTTGCATAAATGAGAGTTGATTATGATCTTATAATTATGATGCCGATAGTAGAATATTGTGTACAATATTTGATGTATGATTTTTAAAGATGAATTTGCAATACATCATAAGGCATAGTTTGACTATTGGAGCTAGTGAGATATAAAATGTTCATTTAATCACGACATAACATGTAATCTACTTTTCTCTCATTAAATGTTAACGACATAACAAGCAAAGACATAGAAAGAAGAAGATAACTATTTTCGGGTTGGTAATATATATAGTTACTACTCTGGTTTCCCCTCCATATCGACTGGTACTGGGTATCAGGTTTCAATTCGATTCTCATCTGCGTGACTGCAGGTTCCTAGTTGGTTTCCATCGATTTGGTTTGCATATGGTGACTAATTAAATAATACCTCCATATTTAGACTTAAATTTATTCCCTCAGTCCCTAGCTCAGATTTTGCATTAGCCGTGCTTGGAATAGCGGCCTCTTCACCTTCGAGCTTCTCATGCTTCCAAGAAGTTGTGCACATACATGCACTGAGGTCATTGCATAAGCAAACTTTTATGGGCAGTCGAATTGTATGAAGGAAGTTTGTTAAAAGTAGCAAACTTTATAGGGAATATTGAGGAACTAATCCAATAATTAAGAGCAGAGGTTCACCAGATACTGCAGCAGCGAATGCAAATCTCATTGCACGACCTCAAGTGTATGACTGACCATGCCAACTTTAATTTTTATCTGCTCGCAATGAGAAAGGAAGCTTTCGATCTCAACAGTTTGCTTCTTAATTCTCACATGATCGCCAGCAATGCCCCTACAACCACGCACTACCTTGTGACGGGCATTGCCATGTATCCGATGAAGCGCGCGAATAAGTCGCAAGTCAAGTGTCCGTGAAGCTCCTCATCAATTACAACCACATCATGCCTACTCATTATACCCTAGATACCTATCTCACCTTCGAATGCCTCCAATTTCGGGACAACAAGGCCAAGGCACAACTCGATGATATGGGAGGTTTAAGAGTAGAAAAACCCATTGGTTCTTTTGTTCTTCACCAAGCACAGGTTCTAATACGAGGATATTTTTGTCAAAACACTTCCATTATTAACACCTCATTTTTGTAACTCTCCCAAACAAGGTAAGATTATGTTTAACACTTACACTTACCTTCCCTTCCAACACTCCATTACTAACACCTCCCAACACTCCATCCAAACAGCCCTGTGTTCGAGTGCTTTGATATGGTAATCCTGTGTTCGAGTGCTTTGATATGATTTATTATTCATAGAAGATACTGCTTTTTTAATATGTAGGAAATCAGACATTTTCAGTACTAGTTTTGAGTTAGCCTTTATTTTATTTTAACTCATTTCAGGTTATTTATCAACAACATTTCAATATCTCTCTTTTTTACATTTCAATAGCTATTGTAGGCAAGTTTTGTTGTTTTCCTCATGCTAAATTAAATGAGAATATGAATCTAAAGAGAGAAATGAGAATGAATCTAGAACATTGGATTTGAGAATTGTGCGCTATCTCAGACTGAAATGTGCATTGAAAAAATATGGTGACATTTTTGTAAATAAAGTGACTTTTTCTATTGTTGTGAAATGTGCATTATCCTTATAAAAATTTTGCGGCTACATGAATCAGGGTGTGCAACATTTTGCATCATCCTCATTTCTTACAAGAAGAATCACTATATAGATAGGGTCTCGTCCGGTGAGAGCGGTTGTTCCCGTGAGAAATAAGAACGACCTCAAATGATGCACATTTTGAATCTTTCATTGATTAGAATTTGAAAGTGAAGATTAAAAGTTATCATTCATAAATGTGTTCTCATTTTAAAAGGGGTAGATTCTTATTATAACCTCTAATGTCATGGATACGAAATTGAACATCGAGGACCATCTATATAAATTTGGTGTTGGGATATATTATCCCGGCCTATTACTGTTCAGGAGTCCAAGACATTATCCAGTACGGAGCCCGAGCAGCTAGGTCCATTTCGGCCCATTCTGGCCCACTTTGGCCATTAGGCCCGACATTGGCCCGTTTGGCCCATTAGGGTGGAGTACTTCCCTCACCCCTTTCCCTATTTATAGGAAGTCTTCCCTCCATATTATGGATCTTTTTGCTTCTTCCTCCTTCTCACTAGAATAGCTTAAGACTCCATTAATGGGAGCTTCAATACTTGTACTATGTAATGGTGAGGAGAGACTAATGAGAATGAGAGGGCTTGGACATTAGCCTAAAAAGTCTCATGGTTTTCTCCCTTTCGGGTTTCCACATAAAAACTGAGCTTGTTCATACACATTTATACATATATTTACTATATCGTGTTGGATTAAACTCAACACTGACGCCGTCTGTGGGAATCTGTCCAAAAAGATTTGTGTGTTCTACTGTTCTTGAGTTTCTACGAAAAATTCATACGAAGTGGACTGAGGGGGTGTTTGGATCTGATTCTCAAAACTGATTCTGCTCCTTCAAGGAGCAGAAGCAGAAGCTGGAGTGTTTAGGTGAAATTCCAGAAGCACTTCTGGTGCTCTAATTTACTCCCAGAATCAGTTTTTTTAGAAGCTGGGGGTACCAGCTTCTGAAAACTGATTCTGATTCTGCTTTAAAAAAGAAGCAGAAGCAGAATCAGTTCCAAACACCTCCTGATTCTAGCAAAAAATGAAAAAGAAAAAATCTGGAATTTTGGTTTGGGGAAGCTCTGGATCTGCCGCCAGCAGCTCCGTCCAACAGACCGAGGAAGAAGAAAAGCAAAAAGAAAGGTTCTGGGAAAAAAGAAGAAGAGATGAAGTCCAGATCTGGAATTTTGCAGACCGTGGCCGGAGCAGCCGTCCGTACCACCGCGCGCTCCACCAAGAGCTCGCTGATATACGATGTAAAAGCCGCCTAGCTTTTCCGGCCCTCTTCATCGCTAGCAGCGCCGCTCTACGCCTCCGTCGCGGTGCGCCCGCCGGCCTCAGCTCCCCCTCGCTGCTCGAACCTCAGAGAAGGTCCGCCATTAATGGCCGCTGAGAGCTTCAAGAGTGACAACCGTAAACCAGTGCACCCCCACGGCTCGAGGTTAGGGAAGTTTCGCAGGTTATGCCGGAGTCCTGGCTGGCGACCACGCCACCGGTCTTTGTCGCTCCGCCGCTAACGCCGCCTGAGGCAGCTTTGTCTTGGCCGTCATCAGCCGCTGCTGCGTTGCCACCGCTGCGTTGCGCACTACGTGGGCTCCCTTCGACCAGCTACAGCAGCTGAGTAAGGTAGGGGTAGCTGCCAGCTTGCAAAATGTGAAGGCTGGATGATTGGAGGCTTTTTGGCAATTTTGACCAAGTCAAAATCAGCAAGGATGAGCAAATTGCTTTCACAAAACCCCTTGGCCGAGTATCAACTTGAAGCTAAGTATTCAATCTCCGAATTCCACGTTAAGGTACTTGGCTGGTAGCTTTAAAATACGAAAAAATATTAGTCAGAAATGCTACTAGTATTTTTATCATCACTATTTATTAGAGATTAAAATCTCCCGAAATGGAATAGTGCGAGCGATGCTCGGGTGATGATTAATTTCACCGTCATTTAAATTTAATGACTGGTTGTTGTGGGCCCGTCGGCCCGCTCCCGATCGGCTTTAATTAGCGAACGGAGCGTATCTGAATGGCCTTTGGTAGGATAGTATCATTACTATTACTAGTTACATCACTATCACTTATTAGGGATAAAAATGTCCCGACTTAAATAATGTACGTGGAGCGAAGCTCTAGTGATAGTTAGTTCCGCCAACATTTTATTAAATGTTTAATTGTTGGTGGGCCTGATTAGCCCACTCTCGATCAGCTTGATTAAGCGATCCGAGCGTCTGCAGGGGGCAGTGCCCCGACGACGCATTTCTATTTGGGGATTACGCGTTAGTCCGCGCGGCACCAAGTGCCCGATCGACGACCGTATCCTAGTATCATCTACGCCATTAGGCGCGAAGTGACTATTGCCAGACGCGGCCTGTGGGGCCCCGAGGGCACCAAAGCGCTCGGCCTCGTGTTTCCGAGGGCGGTGCGACTAACTTGGGTCTGAGTTTGAAAACTCACAGACCGATGCATATTTTTATGTGACGTTCGGTAGGCTGCTAAATGGCCCTGCCGCAAGTTGTTACGTCCAGTAACCCCGCACGATGAGCCAGACTGAGGGTCACAGTGACCCATAGGCCAGTAATCGTGGGTGTTAGAGAGAAATCCACATAGATGGCTATGTATATATACTGTCGGGCCGTGCGGCCCGTTATCATGCTTATTGCGCAGCTGAAGCTGCTCGACGCGCTCGAGCGAAATGATTAAAAGACGCTCGGCCCGAGTCTTGAAGACGTTCAGGGCCAGCTAAAGAGGAGACCATCACGGCTGAGAGCCGAGAGACGAGCATCTCCACCTCAGAGACCGATGGCCTAGGAAGAACACCTAGAGGCCGAGGGTCTAGAGGGAACTGCCACGGTGAAGAACCGTGAGACGATCATCCATCATTCAGAGGCCGAAGGCCTAGAGGAGACCGTCGCGGCCGAGGGCCAACTGACACAATCATATCACGACCGGCCTCTCGGCACGGCGTGATTATCATCTTCTGAAGACCGGTATCATCCCCGCGCTGCGCGGATGAGAGCCATTGCATGGGTACACTTGATCGGCCTCTCATTGCCGACATCATTATATCACGACCGGCCTCTTGGCACGGCGTGATTATCTTATTTGAAGACCGGCCTCGTCCCCGCGCTGCGTGGAGGAGGACCGTTGCTGGATCTCAGATCGGCCTCTCATTGCCGACATCATTATATATCACGACCGGCCTCTCGGCACAGCGTGTTTATCTTCTGAAGACCGGCCTCGTCCCCGCGCTGCGTGGAGGAGGACCGTTGTTGGATCTCAGATCGGCCTCTCATTGCCGACATCATTATATATCACGACCGGCCTCTCGGCACGGCATGTTTATCTTTTGAAGACCGGCCTCGTCCCCGCGCTGCGCGGATGAGGACCGTTGCTTGATTTTAGGTCGACCTCTCATTGCCGACATCATTATATATCACGACCGGTCCCCCGGCACGGCGTGTTTTCCATACTTGAAGATCGGCCTCATCCCCGCTCCTCGCGGATGAGGACCGCTGATTATCCCTCTTTGGATCGGCCCCAGCGCCGACGTCATACATGGCCACCGACCTCCTGGTACGGTGTGTTAGTACCCCAGGACCATCACGGTGCCACCATCATATTTGAAGACCGGTTTCATCCCCGCGCTGCGTGGATGAGAGCCGTTGCTCGGATATATCGGCCTGATCGGACACTATTGTCATCTCCTTATCAGGACCGACTGCTCAGCGACATTATGATCATTATCGGCTCCCAATGCCGACCTTCTTGAGTTAGTGATCGAACTCACCCCTCCCCTCCAGGAGGGTGACCATCGCCTTCGCATGACGACCAGCTATTTCATCGCCTCGTCATTTTATTCGTGTTGGTATCCCACCACAATTATGTGTGACATCACTTGTGGTCATTCTTAGAACCGACGAACGTATTTTCCTCCCTCAAAAAAAAAAAAGATGGGGAGAAGGGGAGACAAGCTCCTATGAGAGAGGGAGTCTTGACGAGGTATGCCAGATCTTCCTTCGCCGCGAATGACGAACGTCTCCTGACACGGAGGCCAGTAGGAACGTGGGGGGGGGGGGGGGGGGGCTAGACGAACCAAAGGGAACCTCGGAAAGATAAACCAGTTCCTCCCATTTCCCGTGGATCGACGAACACCTTCTGCCAGAGCAGAAGGCTAGTAGGGCCACGAGCATGGGACGACGAAGCAGGGAACCCGCGATAGGGTAAACCAGTTCCTCCTAGCGATCGGTGGATGCCGAACGTCTTCTTCGAGGGAAGAAGATTAGTAGGATCGCGACAGGGACGAACAAAGAAACGGGAACCCTGACAGGGTATACCAGTTCCTCCCCCTTGATGGACGGATGACGAACGTCTTCTGCGAAGCCAGAAGACTAGTAAATCACGACTAGGGACGAATAGAGATAGGAAATCCCGACGTGGTGATAAGTTCGTATTTCAACACGCATTTGATGCGTGTTGGGGTCGGATTTTGATAATTTTCCTAACTTTTGGGTGTCGTAAGTCTCAATTTTAGCTCAAGTCATGTGTATCGGGCGTAGGGTATGAGTTTTGGTATTTTCAGAGTTGAAATCAAGTTTTTGGGACCCAGCATCGGCATTTGAGAAAGAGATCGGGACGAGTTAAGAAGCATTCGAGAGTGAATTCGCAGTTTTGGAGGCCACCGGGAGATTCACGATGATGTTTTGATGAAGAAAGAGCTATTGGATCGATCGAGTGGTCAAACGGAGGCTTAAAACGAAAGAAATCTAAGAAAATGAAGAAGAAAGGCCACGCACGGCCGTGCGTACAGGGACGCACGGCGTGCGTGCGTGGCAGTAGCGGCCAAGAAAAGTAATGACCAACGCACGGCCGTGCGTCCGGGTATGCACGCCGTGCGTTCAAAGCGATAAAACGACGAGAAGCTACTGGCAGCAACGCACGGCCGTGCGTCCGGGTACGCACGCCGTGCGTTCAAAGGCGTTGAAATCAGGGAGGCTACTGGCAGCAACGCACGGACGTGCGTAGGGGAACGCACGCCGTGCGTTGCCTATTTTCACGCGCAGGTCCGTCGGACGCACGGACGCAACGCACGCCGTGCGTAGGCTCCGTGCGTACCGCGGATCTGTCCTTTTTCGACCCAAACTCATTGTTTTCTATAAATTAAGCCTCCCTAACCCCGTTTTGAGGTTCGGAAACCTAGAGAGAAGATTAGGGACGTATTCTACAGTGTTTTTCCATTATTTTGTTCAAGACCCTGAGATTCTTTGTAAGTTTCATCTTTTTGATTAATGACAATTATTTCTATTCATTCCAATTCTGTTGATTCTTCAATTATGAATTGTGAGTAGTTTAATTAGGGATTTGGGGTTGATGAAGGGGTTAATCATGATGTATGGCTAGATTCTTGTCGGTTTAATTGCATGAATGCCGTTTAATTTGTGTTTGAATAATTTAATTGATATCTCTTGTAACCTAGACTGCAGCTAGAATTACAATTGCATGTAGAATGAATTAAGAGAGATCTAATTTGTTCTAGGACACATTCACACACACTTAATCGTTCGCTAAGAGATTAGTAGCGATTAAGGGGCCGTAAGCTCACTCGTCTTGGCAATAATTTAGGATCCTGTCGCATGAGAGATCAGCCTGGTCCCCTAAATTATTGTACACTACGCCGCGAGAGCGGTAAGAACTTAGTAATGATTAGCTAGGCTCAATTAAATTAATTTCATGTAATTAGGCCTGATCTGCCAGAAATCTGGTTACCCCGGAATCAATTCCTGTTCCCTTCGTCGTTAATTGAGAAGAAACCAATCTTTTAATTTAATCGTTCATTCGCATTAGTTTAATTTTATTCACCAATCAATCTCGCACAATCGCATTTATTTTATTTATTTCTTTTTAATCGCTGAATTTAGTTAATTCTTAATTCCCTTTTGTCCGTCCCTGTGGAGACGATACTCGTACTTACACCACTATTCTACAATCTTTTTAAGTGCGAGAAAACTCACATCAGTTTTTGGCGCCGTTGCCGGGGACGGTGTCGGATTTAAGGGTTAATTATATTTAGCGACTTGTTTTTAGTTTTTCGTAGGATTTTTGTCTACTAACCTTGCAGGTCAGATCTGTTTATGCATACACGCTCTAAGAAGGGAGAATCACTAGTCCCTCTTAATCCTGAGATCGAGAAGCTAGCTAAGCAGAACCGCAAGGCCTTAAGAGAACAGAAAGCAACCATGGATCAACCATTCGCATCTGGAATAGCTGGGACGTCTGAGGTCCAAACCACTTCTGGTAATCTGGATTTTTATGTTAATACCTCTCCCCAGTCTTCACAAGAAAATTCACCAAGAGCTTATCCGGGGTATCAAAATCTCCGTACCCCATTCTTCCACCAAAATCAGTCCACTCCACAACTGAATCTTCCACCACTCTATCAGCTCTTTCAAAACACTTCTATTGCTCCCGAACCCACCTTTCAAAACCAAACCTTTGGGATGCAAGGTCTAGGGCAAAATAATCCGGTTTTTCAGCCCAGACAGAACCAACCGCCAGTCACACAAAATCCACCCCCTACTCAGCCACAAAATCAGCCTTTCCAACCCCAATATCAACAATTCCATCAAACCCAACCTCAGCCAAATATCATCCGTCCACAACCCATAAGACCACAACCAGTTCATCAGCCGAGATATCAAGCTCCTCCTTACCACAACTATGTTCCACATGACAATCCACTCTATCAAGGAGAGAGCATTGCAGACTTCCTAGCCCCCGAGATCACAGAGTATGACAGTATTCAGGTACCGGGGATTACTGCACCCCGATACGAGATCAAACCGGCGGTGATCAATATGGTCCTAAATAATCAGTTCGGAGGGAGCCCTACGGAAGATCCAGTGGCACACATTACCAAATTTCTGAGGATGTGCCAGACTTTCAAGATCCCTGGGCTAGATGATGATCAGGTACGGATGCTACTATTCCCTTTCTCTTTGAGGGATGACGCGCAGAGGTGGTTGGATAGCAATCCACATCACCACATTCAGACTTGGGACCAGCTGCACAAGGCCTTCATTAAAGAATACTTCCCAACATCAAAGGCCATAAAGTTGAAGAAGCAGCTACAGGAATTCAAGCAAGGTTCATTGGAGACATTAGCTGAGGCGTGGAAGAGATTCAAGGTGCTGAGAAGAGCTTGCCCTCAAGGCAAGATGACTGATTGTGAGGTTTTATCTTGTTTCTACAGTGGACTCAACAATGAAGGCAAGATGATGCTTGATGCTTCGGGCGGTGGAGCTTTTCCTCAGTTGCCATCTGAGGTTGCGGAAGAATTGGTGGAGAAGATTGTGTCGAATAATGCTTCATGGTACAGTTCTCGGGACACACCTCACCAAAAGGCCCCGGGATTGTACGAGATCAGTGAGAATTCTGCCCTTTCTGCAAGGGTAGATGCTTTGACCAGTTTGATTCAGAAGCTTGCTACTACAGTGGAAGACAATCAAAAGAAGACGGAACTTGCTCTCTCGGTGCCCAGTGTAAATATGGTAGCCCCCGTTCCTATTAGTCCCTCTTGTTCTATGTGTGGGGGACTCCATTCGCCACATGAATGCACAATGATGGCACACTCGGCAGCCCCTGGAGTAGAGCAAGTGGATGCGATGTATTATCAGCGACAGGGCTATTACAATCAGCCCTACGGACAGCAGCAGCAAGGGCAATACGGGCAGGGAAATCAGCAGCAGTCTAGAAACTTTAATCAGCCCCAGGTACCTCAAGGCCAACAACAAGCACCTCAGCCGGCGCAAGGGAGTTTTAGAAAAGAGACTGAGCAAAGATTCTCTAGTTTGGAAGACACATTCAAGAAATACATGCAAGTGACTGATGCAAGGATGCATAACATGGAAACTCAATTGGGGCAGATCTTTAAGGCTGTATCTGAGAGGCCTCAGGGATCCCTCCCTAGTAATACTGAACCAAATCCCAGAGAACATGTTCAGGCTGTGACCTTGAGGAGCGGAAAAGAGCTGGAACCTGCTGCCACAACAAAGAAGCCCGATGAAGTTCAAGTTGAACCGGCTGTCCGGGAGGAAGAGAAGGAGAAAGATGAGGGAAGAGAGGTGGCGGCTGCACCAAAACAGTCCGTTCCGGTCAAGAATTACACCCTACCTCTCCCCTATCCGGCGCGATTGACTAGGAAGAACGATAGTGACCAGTTTGGTAAGTTTCTGCATCTCATGAAACAAGTGCAGATTAACTTACCATTCGTGGATGCACTAGCTCAGATGCCGAAGTACGCGAAGTTTATGAAGGATTTGCTCACGAACAAGAGGAGGCTGGAAGAAGCGTCTACTGTGACGCTTAATGAGGAGTGCTCAGCTGTGATACGGACAGATCTGCCGAAGAAGCTTAAGGATCCAGGTTCTTTTACTATTCCCTGCTTTATAGGAGATCTTACTTTTGATAGGGCCCTGGCTGATTTGGGTGCAAGCATTAATCTGATGCCTCTTGCTTTATATGAAAAGCTTGCACTCGGTCCACTTAAACCTACACGTATGTGCATTCAGTTGGCTGATCGTTCAGTCAAATATCCCCAAGGGATTATTGAAGACGTGTTGGTTAAAGTGGACAAATTTATTTTTCCGGTAGACTTTGTTATTTTGGACATGGATCAGGATCGGGAGGTACCATTGATTTTGGGCAGACCATTCTTGGCAACTGCCCGTGCACTTATTGATGTTGGAGACGGTAAGCTTGTCCTCCGCGTTGGGGATGAGTCTGCCACCTTTGACATGTCCAAAATAATGAAGAGGCCCTGTCAAGATAGTGGTGAGTGTTTTTACATGGATGTGGTTGATTCTTTGGTGGAGGATTGCATTCCTAACATGCTTTCTGATGAAGCCTTCTTTGATCTTCTTTTGGATGATAGTTTGTCAGCAGAGGATCTTGAGCTCCTCCCCAGTTTTGATTGCCTTATGCTTGATGGGGAGGAGGACTCAAGTGATGCTAGTGATGTGAAGGGGAAGGAAGAGGACTTAGATAAGGTGGAGAAGGAAGATTGTCAGACTGATTCTTCTATTGTTACTCCTTCTCCATTAAATCTAAAGCCTCTTCCCTCCCACCTTGAGTATGCGTTTCTAGATGATAGTCCTGACCTCCCTGTTATTCTTGCATCCGGGCTTGAGCCATCCCAAAAATTTGCATGTCTCGATTTACTTTGTGAACAAAGGGAAGCTCTAGCCCGGAAACTTTCTGACATGAAAGGAATCAGTCCTGTTTTCTGCACTCATAAAATTTTGATGGAAGATAATGCTAAACCGGTAGTGCAGCCACAAAGGAGATTGAATCCTAATATGCAGGAAGTAGTCAGGGAGGAAGTCATCCGTCTGTTAGATGTAGGAATTATTTATCCAATTTCAGACAGCCCTTGGGTCAGCCCGACCCAGGTGGTTCCCAAGAAAGGGGGGATGACTGTGGTTAGGAATGAGAAAGAAGAGTTGATTGCTACACGTACGGTCACCGGATGGCGGGTTTGCATTGATTACCGAAGGTTGAATGCCGCCACCCGGAAAGACCACTTCCCCCTCCCCTTCATTGATCAGATTTTAGAGAGGCTAGCAGGGCATAAGTTTTACTGTTTCCTTGACGGGATGTCGGGATACTTCCAGATCCCCATAGCCCCCGAGGACCAGGATAAGACCACTTTTACATGTCCATTCGGTACCTTTGCTTATCGGAGGATGGCGTTTGGATTATGTAATGCCCCTGCTACCTTTATGAGATGCATGCTTGCTATTTTTGGGGATTTCATTGGGAAGATTATGGAGGTTTTTATGGATGACTTTTCTGTGTATGGTGATACTTTTAATGAGTGCTTAGAGAACTTGAAGAAAGTCCTGGTTAGGTGTCGAGAGGTGAATTTGGTGCTTAACTGGGAGAAGTGCCACTTCATAGTTAGTGAGGGAGTGGTCCTAGGGCATAAGATTTCAAGTAGGGGGATTGAGGTTGATCCGGCTAAGGTTGATGTGATTTCTAAATTACCTCCCCCTACTTCAGTCCGTGCCATTAGGAGTTTTCTAGGCCACGCAGGTTTTTACCGTAGGTTCATCCAGGACTTTTCTAAGATAGCCCGACCCATGACTAAACTCCTTGAGAAGGACACACCATTTGACTTCTCAAAGGAGTGTTTAGAGGCTTTTGAGTGTTTGAAGGAGAAACTGGTCAAGGCACCGGTGGTAGTAGCTCCTGACTGGTCTTTGCCTTTTGAGATTATGTGTGATGCTAGTGATTTTGCAGTAGGAGCCGTTCTTGGGCAGCGTCGAGAGAAATATTTTCAGCCTATTTCATATGCTTCAAAGACTCTCGATAGTGCCCAAGAAAACTACACTACCACCGAGAAAGAATTGCTTGCTGTTGTGTTTGCTCTTGACAAGTTTCGTCCTTATTTGATTTTGTCTAAGGTAGTGATATTCACCGATCATTCTGCTCTTAAATATTTGATGCAAAAAGTGGATGCTAAGCCTAGATTGATTCGGTGGATATTACTACTCCAGGAGTTTGATATTGAGATTAGGGATAAGAAAGGGGCTGAGAATTTAGCGGCTGATCACTTGAGTAGGTTAGAAAACCCCTTTCTTGATTCCCTGAGTGAGAGAGATATTGAGGGTACTTTTCCTGATGAGAGACTGTTGAGGATCGTTGATGAGGTGCCTTGGTTTTCTGACATCGCCAACTATCTTGTTGGGGGTGTTGTTCCTTCTGATTATACACCTCATCAACGACGGAAATTTTTTGCTGATTTGAAATATTATTTCTGGGAGGAACCATATTTGTTTCGTATTTGTGCTGATCAGGTCGTTAGAAGATGTGTTCCCCTGAGTGAAGGAGTCGAGATTCTCAAACATTGTCACTCCGGACCGACTGGGGGACACTATTCTTTCAACCGGACAGCTCGTAAGGTGTTGGAATGTGGTTTCTTCTGGCCCACATTGTTTAAAGATGCTCTAACGTTTGTGCAGGAATGTGACAGGTGTCAACGCACCGGGCCGGTTACCAAGAGGGATGAAATGCCCCAGAATTTTATATTGGCTTGTGAGGTATTTGATGTTTGGGGCATTGACTTCATGGGACCGTTCCCGGGTTCTAAAGGTAATAAATTCATTCTGGTTGCTGTGGATTATGTCTCTAAGTGGGTTGAGGCTGAAGCTCTGCCCACAAATGATGCTAGAGTTGTGATTCGTTTTCTAAAAAAATTGTTTTCTAGGTTTGGAGTGCCACGAGTTTTGATAAGTGACAGGGGTACCCACTTTAGGAATGATCCGATGACTCGCCTTCTGGCAAAGTACGGGGTCACTCATAAAGGGGGCGTCCCTTATCACCCTCAAACTAGTGGCCAAGTTGAGAATTCGAATAGGGACATTAAGACAATCCTTGAAAAGACTGTTGAGACCCATAGGAAGGATTGGTCTGATAAGCTAGATGATGCGCTGTGGGCACTGCGTACAGCGTATAAGACACCCATTGGCACTACTCCGTTTCACTTGGTTTATGGGAAGGCGTGCCACCTTCCGGTAGAGATAGAGCATAAGGCCTACTGGGCCTTGAAAACATTGAATAGGGATTTGTCTTTGGCGGGTCGTGAACGGCTTTGGAAGCTCAACGAGTTGGATGAGTGGAGGCTTATGGCCTATGAGAACTCTAAAATTAGTAAGGAGCGTACCAAAGCCTATCATGATCGGCACATTAAACAGGGAAAAGAATTTTGCAAAGGGGATCAAGTTCTGCTATTCAATCCCCGAATGAAGATTTTTAAAGGAAAATTGAAGTCTAGATGGTCCGGTCCTTTTGTAGTGAGCGAAGTTTTTCCATATGGAACTGTTGAGATTGATCATCCTGAGAAGGGCCGTTTTAAAGTTAACGGCCATCATTTGAAGAAATACTACGGAGGACCGCTAGAACGCGAGCGTGAGGTGACCTTTGTCACGAATTTAGAGAGATGAGTGCGTAGTTGCGTCGGGCAAACGACGTTAAAAATAACGCTTCTCGGGAGGCAACCCGAGCTTAATTTGTTTTTGTTTAGTTTAGTTTTGTTGCTTTTTTCAAAAACCCACAAAAACCACAAAAAAAAAAAAAATATCTTTTGCAAGTGCGTTGGCCATAAAGCAAGATGGATCGTCTACTGGCAGGCACGCACGGCCGTGCGTCCGGGTACGCACTCCGTGCGTTGCCAAGGCAAAATACGAACCCAGCTACTGGCAGCAACGCACGGGCGTGCGTCCGGGTACGCACGCCGTGCGTTAGCCATATAGATGCGCAAGTAGCTACTGGCAGCAACGCACGGTCGTGCGTCCGGGTACGCACGGTCGTGCGTCCGGGTACGCACGCCGTGCGTTACCCATCTAAAATTCCCACCCTGCCCGATAATCAAAAAACCCACGCACGCACCCCTCCTTTACCCACGACGCACGCACGAACCCCCTCCCTTCCCTCTTTCGACCGCGACCCACACCGCCACCACCGCACCACGCCGCCGCCCGCCGCACCACCAACCGCCGCCGCCTCTCTCTCTCTCCTCTACTTCCTCAAAGGTATTCCTCTTCTTCCCCAAGCTCCCTTCTCCATTAATGGTGTTTCAAGCTTTGTAAAATCCGATTTTTGCATAAGTTCAAAAGTTAGGGATTTGATTTCCTTTGTCAAATTGAAGCTTGTAATGATGATTTTGATGTTCTAAGAGTATGAATTTGCCCATTTTGCTTGGAATCCCTAATTCTTGAGTTGACTTGGCCAATTTAGGGTTGATTTTGAGAAAAATTTGGGGATTTTGTGTTTGTTGCTAGAATAAAGGAAGTGAATTATTGCTTACGATGATACATGATTGTTGTTTAGTCTACTTGAGAATGAATCCACAATTTTTGGGCTAAACATTGTCCAAATTGGAACTTTTGAGTTCTTCCCCAAAAAAAAAAAAAAAAAATTTGACATTTTAGCTAAATAATTTGGGAAGAATTCTAATCTGAAAACGTGAATGATGCTTGCTTATGACACTGTTTACACCGTGTGTCGTTGAAAATTTGATTTTTATTCAAAGTTCTTTGATAAAAGTTCAATTTTCAACTATTCTGGTTAAACATTGGGTTTGTATTAGCTTTTACTTGTGGTTGAGATGTAGTGTGGCCAACGGGGCTATGATTTCGAAACTCTTGGCTTATCTCTAACCTGTGGCAACCCCGTTGGAACCTTCGTGGATTATTTTTCTTTTGCAGATGACCCGCACCAAGCATTCCGCTAAGAGGCACCGGGACAACACCGGTGCTAGCTCCAGCCGGGCCAACCCAAACAGAAATCAGCAGCCGATTGTACCCTACCAACCCCAGTTTCGGGATAACGCCCAAAAAGAGAAATTTGAGGAATTAATGCAAAGGCGAGCGGGAAAAATATTGTTCCCCCCATTTGCCTACACTGGAGAAAGCCGGAATCCAAGACGAGGTGATGCAGCTGTTGTCCCGTGATTGGTGGCAACATCTCTTTTTCGGCATCAATGAGCCGACTTATAAAGAGATCACTTGCGAGGTTCTGTCTTCTTTCAAGGCCCCGAGGGAAATCACCAACAGCTTTTACCCGGTAATCAAGTTTAGAGCTTTCGGGGAGGACCATGTACTTTCAGCCAATGACATCTCTTCACACTTAGGTTTTGAGCGATTGGACGATGTTGCCCGATGGGATGGGAGCCTTTTAGACTTTCCGAAGGAGGTGAATCAACAACAGTTTTGGGAGTCTATTACTATTAATGGGGGCAGGTACAACTCACAGACATCGCCTAGTACAGTCCTACACCCACTCAAGTACCGTGTCATCCATGCCTTGTTGAGTTCCACAGTTTCTGGCCGCGCAGAGAAAGGCGGCAAGGTCTCCTCCACTGACTTTTTCTGTCTCTATTGCATGATTCATGGGAGGAGACCGATCTTTGGCGCTCTCTTCGCGGGACTTTTTGCCAGGCAGGCTAGTTATCGGGTCAAGGAGCTTTTTGCGGGACCATACATTACACGGATGATGAAGGCCATGGGGTATGGAGACCGCCTAGAGGGGATGACAGTCGTAGAGCATATTTATCCGATGGAGACGCTGCCCAAGGAGATTCCAGCTGGACGCCGAGCAGCTAGGCACGCAGATGATGATGACGGTGGTGCTGAGGGCCACCAGCAGGCTGAGCAGGATGACGCGCATGAGATGATGCATGGGGCCCCCGTTCTGCCCCCTCCCCAGGGACACGTGTTTCCCAACTCTTGGGAAGGGATGCATCAGCATATAGAGGATATGTATGGCCGACTTTATGAGCACCAGCAGCAGTTTTTCACGCAGATGAGCAACGATGTTACTGCAGGCTTCTCCAGTCTTGATTTGAGGATGACGTCATTGGAGCAGAGATGGGACAGACAGTTCCCCGATGATCAGCAGCCACCCCCTCCCCCATTTTAGATTATGATACATTGTACCCATCTTGATCACATTCTGCACTGAGCACCTGACACTTCTTTTACTCTTTGTTTTCGTGGATGTTTTCTTTCTGCTTGGTTGTGATTGCAGCTTTTATTGATAATTGATCGTTGCTTAGATGTTTGGAATGAAGGATCGATTGAGTTCAAGGCCGACCAAAGACCTAGGGGAGTTTCTACGTTCCTTACTCGTACTTTTTCGCCTGCCTTTTGTTGACTTGAGTTGATGTTGAGCACGCGCGACCCTTTCCCTTTATCCCCTTGTGCATTATGCATTTTTGGTCATCGAGGGCGATGCCAAAGTTTAAGTGTGGGGGAGTGAACTGGGCATTCGGGCATTAGTTGTTATTTGTAATTATTGGAGTTAGCATGCGCAGGTGTTAGTTGTATATTCATAGGAAATTCATGCAAAATTTTTGCAAATTTTTCTTTAAACTGTGTCTTTGTGAGCTGGCTAACATTTTGACTATGCTTTTATGACATTCTTTGAAGTGTTTAGGCTTAATTTGCTTGCACTATAATCTAGTTGTTGAAAGGATGAAGGCATTAGTCACCCATTGAATTAATCCATTAATCATCCACCCCACATGAATAAGACCCTTTAGGAGAAGCCATTTTGAGCCTGCCCGTTTATTGTTACCCGATTAATTGAGCTCCATAGCCAAATGGCCTGTTTCCTTACCCGTGAATATTTCTGACTTAGTCTTGGTGTTTAGGGAACTAAGGGATTAACTTGCTAAGTTTAGGGAATTTGTGTAGGAGCCATTTTTGGCACTGTTCCTATGCCCCAAATAGGGTAAGAGCAGTCACTTTTTAGGAATTTGATACTTTCGAGGATTGCATTGTAGGCATGGATTCACTTTTAAATTAATGAACTTTAATTGCTATTTTTCCTTGGTGAGGCCGAGATTAGAATGAGGTAATGTCTAGTGAGAATCCGAAAGGTGAAAAATTAATATAGCTAGACCTCTTACTTTACGAAAAAGAGAATGGGAGCCCCGGTCAAAAAGCGTGAGATGAGACTTGGGTATCTTTCGAAAGAAACGGCGTTCTCGTGCCAACATGACAAGGAAAACTAAACTTAAATTAATGAACTTGGAGGCTATCTCAAAATTTAGCTTTAGTCCTCCGCGTACTTCAAGTATACGTCAAAGCACAAATGGGCCGAGACGGTTTAGCTTAGTTGTACACCATGTCTACTCTTTGCATAGGTTTAAATGATTGTTCCTAAATTGTGGCCTACTGAGTTCCTTGTTCCTAAGAATAGCCCTGAAGTTCCTGAATACATTGAGTCTTTGTTATAATATTCCAATCTCTCAAAAGAAAGGGACTATTATTGTTATCCATGATCCATTCACCACCACCTTCACAAGTCCTTCTGATTAATAACTAGTTTATTTGTGTGTGCTGTCACTGCTTTGAGGATGTTGTGAATAATTTTGTCAAATATGTTAGCTAGAGTACAAAGATGTAGTTTAGGGAAGAATTTTCTTGGTTTAGTCTGCCTGTTCTGTGAATATCCCTTTAACTACGTGTGCATGCTAACTGTTTTAATTCCGGGTGGTGATTATGTAAGTCCCGTTGTTCAGTTTGCTTGAGGACAAGCAAAAGCTTAAGTGTGGGGGAATCTGATAAGTTCGTATTTCAACACGCATTTGATGCGTGTTGGGGTCGGATTTTGATAATTTTCCTAACTTTTGGGTGTCGTAAGTCTCAATTTTAGCTCAAGTCATGTGTATCGGGCGTAGGGTATGAGTTTTGGTATTTTCAGAGTTGAAATCAAGTTTTTGGGACCCAGCATCGGCATTTGAGAAAGAGATCGGGACGAGTTAAGAAGCATTCGAGAGTGAATTCGCAGTTTTGGAGGCCACCGGGAGATTCACGATGATGTTTTGATGAAGAAAGAGCTATTGGATCGATCGAGTGGTCAAACGGAGGCTTAAAACGAAAGAAATCGAAGAAAATGAAGAAGAAAGGCCACGCACGGCCGTGCGTACAGGGACGCACGGCGTGCGTGCGTGGCAGTAGCGGCCAAGAAAAGTAATGACCAACGCACGGCCGTGCGTCCGGGTATGCACGCCGTGCGTTCAAAGCGATAAAACGACGAGAAGCTACTGGCAGCAACGCACGGCCGTGCGTCCGGGTACGCACGCCGTGCGTTCAAAGGCGTTGAAATCAGGGAGGCTACTGGCAGCAACGCACGGACGTGCGTAGGGGAACGCACGCCGTGCGTTGCCTATTTTCACGCGCAGGTCCGTCGGACGCACGGACGCAACGCACGCCGTGCGTAGGCTCCGTGCGTACCGCGGATCTGTCCTTTTTCGACCCAAACTCATTGTTTTCTATAAATTAAGCCTCCCTAACCCCGTTTTGAGGTTCGGAAACCTAGAGAGAAGATTAGGGACGTATTCTACAGTGTTTTTCCATTATTTTGTTCAAGACCGTGAGATTCTTTGTAAGTTTCATCTTTTTGATTAATGACAATTATTTCTATTCATTCCAATTCTGTTGATTCTTCAATTATGAATTGTGAGTAGTTTAATTAGGGATTTGGGGTTGATGAAGGGGTTAATCATGATGTATGGCTAGATTCTTGTCGGTTTAATTGCATGAATGCCGTTTAATTTGTGTTTGAATAATTTAATTGATATCTCTTGTAACCTAGACTGCAGCTAGAATTACAATTGCATGTAGAATGAATTAAGAGAGATCTAATTTGTTCTAGGACACATTCACACACACTTAATCGTTCGCTAAGAGATTAGTAGCGATTAAGGGGCCGTAAGCTCGCTCGTCTTGGCAATAATTTAGGATCCTGTCGCATGAGAGATCAGCCTGGTCCCCTAAATTATTGTACACTACGCCGCGAGAGCGGTAAGAACTTAGTAATGATTAGCTAGGCTCAATTAAATTAATTTCATGTAATTAGGCCTGATCTGCCAGAAATCTGGTTACCCCGGAATCAATTCCTGTTCCCTTCGTCGTTAATTGAGAAGAAACCAATCTTTTAATTTAATCGTTCATTCGCATTAGTTTAATTTTATTCACCAATCAATCTCGCACAATTGCATTTATTTTATTTATTTCTTTTTAATCGCTGAATTTAGTTAATTCTTAATTCCCTTTTGTCCGTCCCTGTGGAGACGATACTCGTACTTACACCACTATTCTACAATCTTTTTAAGTGCGAGAAAACTCACATCACGTGGATAAACCTGTTTCTTCTCATAGTTGGGATGACGAACGTCTCCTGCGAAACCAGGAGACCAGTAACTCACGAGACTTGAGAAGAACGAAGACTAGCTCCATGGATCAGACACGAAGGACCAGTTCTTCACCAGAGTCTGTTGCGTGCCGAGTGTACACCGCTTAGCGGTCCATACATAGGACCACGGATACGGTAGACGAATGAAGACCAGCTTCATGGATCAGACATGAAGAACCAGTTCTTTACCGAAGTCTGTTGCCTGCCGAGTGTACACCGCTTAGCGGTCCATACATAGGACCACGGATACGGTAGACGAACGAAGACCAGCTCCATGGACCAGACACGAAGGACCAGTTCTTTACCGGAGTCTGTTGCGTGCCGAGTGTACACCGCTTAGCGGTCCGTACATAGGACCACAGATACGGTAGACGAACGACGATTAGCTCCCCAAATCAGACAGGAAGGACAGCACCCAGATTTACTTCAGGTTCACCATTCTTTCCCAGATGGAGTCCTGGCAGACGATCGGCTTCTCACAGCCAGTCAGGAGGGAGACCTGACACATCACTAGCACGGCCGAGGGCCGTGAGACGATTATCACTCACCGACAGCCCAAGGGCCATGAGATGATCATCACCATTTTTTATGCAGTACGATCGGCCCCTCAGCGCCATCGTACCCAGCTCACGTTCAGCTCGTCCATCCCTTCCAGGGTGGCGACGAACGTCTTATGCATCACGATCGGCCCCTCAGCGCCATCGTGTCCAGATTCACGGCTCGGCTCGCCCATTCCCTCCAGGATGGCGACCACCGTCTTATGCAGTACGATCGACCCCTCAGCGCCATCGTACCCAGCTCACGTTCAGCTCATCCATCCCTTCCAGGGTGGCGACGAACGTCTTATGCATCACGATCGGCCCCTCAGCGCCATCGTGTCCAGATTCACGGCTCGGCTCGCCCATTCCCTCTAGGATGGCGACGACTGTCTTATGCAGTACGATCGGCCCCTCAGCGCCATCGTACCCAGCTCACGTTCAGCTCGTCCATCCCTTCCAGGGTGGCGACGAACGTCTTATGCATCACGATCGGCCCCCTCAGCGCCATCGTGTCCAGATTCACGGCTCAACTCGCCCATTCCCTCCAGGATGGCGACGACCGTCTTATGCAGTACGATCGGCCCCTCAGCGCCATCGTACCCAGCTCACGTTCAGCTCGTTCATCCCTTCCAGGGTGGCGACGAACGTCTTATGCATCACGATCGGCCCCTCAGCGCCATCGTGTCCAGATTCACGGCTCGGCTCGCCCATTCCCTCCAGGATGGCGACGACCGTCTTATGCAGTACGATCAGCCCCTCAGCGCCATCGTACCCAGCTCACGTTCAGCTCGTCCATCCCTTCTAGGGTGGCGACGAATGACTTATGCATCACGATCGGCCCCTCAGCGCCATCGTGTCCAGATTCACGGCTCGGCTCGCCCATTCCCTCCAGGATGGCGACGACCGTCTTATGCAGTATGATCGGCCCCTCAGCGCCATCGTACCCATCTCACGTTCAGCTCGTCCATCCCTTCCAGGGTGGCGACGAACGTCTTATGCATCACGATCGGCCCCTCAGCGCCATCGTGTCCAGATTCACGGTTCGGCTCGCCCATTCCCTCCAGGATGGCGACGACCGTCTTATGCAGTACGATCGGCCCCTCAGCGCCATCGTACCCAGCTCACTTTCAGCTCGTCCATCCCTTCCAGGGTGGCGACGAACGTCTTATGCATCATGATCGGTCCCTCAGCGCCATCGTGTCCAGATTCACGGCTCGGCTAGCCCATTCCCTCCAGGATGGCGACGACCGTCTTATGCAGTACGATCGGCCCCTCAGCGCCATCGTACCCAGCTCACGTTCAGCTCGCCCATTCCCTTCCAGGATGGCGACGAACGTCTTTACGTAGCACGATCGGCCTCTCAGCACCATCGTGTCTGGCTCATGTTCGGCTCGCCCATCCCTTCCAGGATGGCGACGAACGTATCTTATGCAGCACAATCGGCCCCGCCGTGCCATTGTGTCGAGTTCATCTCCGGATCGCCCATCCCTTATAGGATGGCGACGATCATCTTATGCAGCACGTCTGCCTCTCGGCGCTGACATGCCCGGTTTATCGATGAGAGCCACCGCTTTCTATCACATCTCACATTCCTTCTCTCATACATTGCACCCATACATTACATGCATTCATGCATTCATGCATCATACCTCATACATTCATACATACACACGTGCATCATGTTTTGACAGTACCGCGACGTCGGTTTATAGATGCATGGACCTCTAAGCTTCTGCGATTGAAAAGCTCAAGTCAGAGTCCTTTACTCCCGCCTGATGCATTCAGGGGGAGTATGCCCGTGGAGGAGCACCCTTCGCCCGACCCCGTCGGGAAAGGGGGTGCCTCACTGGCAGATTACGTTCAGGAGTGCAGACACCCACTCATATATTATGATTATTCGAAGACACAGTATCCAGCAAGACAGAGGAAGAGCGCAGGCAAGAGTATATTTTCTCGAGCAGATTCGCACGCTCACTACTCAAGAAACTGGGGGACTTGTGTTGGGATATATTATCCCGGCCTATTACTGTTCAGGAGCCCAAGACATTATCCAGTACGGAGCCCGAGCAGCTAGGTCCATTTCGGCCCATTCTGGCCCACTTTGGCCATTAGGCCCGACATCGGCCCGTTTGGCCCATTAGGGTGGAGTACTTCCCTCACCCATTTCCCTATTTATAGGAGGTCTTCCCTCCATATTATGGATCTTTTTGCTTCTTCCTCCTTCTCACTAGAATAGCTTAAGACTCCATTAATGGGAGCTTCAATACTTGTACTATGTAATGGTGAGGAGAGACTAATGAGAATGAAAGGACTTGGATTAAAGTCTCATGGTTTTCTCCCTTTCGGGTTTCCACGTAAAAACTGAGCTTGTTCATACACATTTATACATATATTTACTATATCGTGTTGGATTAAACTCAACATTTGGGTTTAATGCACCAAACCCCCCTGTGATATGAAAATTCGGCGCATTAGCCCTCTGTGATTTAAAAAATGTGTCAAACCCCCTTGTGTTTTAATTAATTATGCGCAAAATCCCTTCTATGAACAAATCCAATAGTCAAATAAAAGAAAAATAATTAACATTTATGTATGATTTAGAGATTATGACATATTTACTTGCATATTCAATCATAATATTAGGAAAAGTGGTTTCCAGATCATTAAATTTATTCAAAAATAAAGAGGTTTTGTGCATGATTAATTAAAACACAAGGGGGTTTGACGCATTTTTCAAATCACAAGGGGCTAATGCGCTGAATTTCTATACCACAAGGGGGTTTGGTGCATTAAACCCATATAAATTTGGAGAAATTCATACAAATAATCCCTACTTTTAATGATTCTACATGAATAATCCATACTGAGGGAATTAATAAAAATAATCTGAACTCTCAAACCTGTTCACAAAAATAGATGAAAGTAAACGTTACTAACAATTCCGTTATAATCTCATCTCGTCGCCCACTCCCCTATCTCTCCGGTACATAGTTTCTTCTTCCCAGAAGTATTTTTATCCTCTAATCCATCATCTTCTTCACTATACTAGATTTTCACCCGCGCGATGCGCGGTCTATATTATCGAATAGTTATATAATCTTATTTATTAACGTTATTAGTGCATGTGCAGATGATATTCTTTTATACGCATGTAATATATATGAACAATATACAATAATTATAGAGAAAACTATAGTTATCACTAATAATAGGTACGATTTATATATTAGGATAAGAGGAAAAACAAATTATGAGAAGACAAATTATTTATGAACAAACTAAATAGAATTTATAAATACCAGATATTATATTATATTATTATAATAATTTGAAATGATTATCGTGCCTACATTGTGGACCATCAATTTTTTATGTTGACTTAAATGACATGAAAATAATGTTTTTAGATCTATTTGAATACTATAAAAACAAAAGTATGTACTCAAACACTTTTAAATATTTTGATGGCCCAATTAAATCCGACCCAACCGTTAAATATGTACAAAAGTATGTAAAATCCATTAAATTTCAGACCCAAATATCTGAAATTTTGGATCCACCTTAATCTTGGAGAATAAAACCTTCAGCCAGCCCCTAATCCTACCCGGCCCGTTTAAACGTACCCAGCCCAGCCTGTTTAACCTTCCCAAACTAGCTAAAAACCAACCCTAGTTATAAATATAAATACCCTGCTAAATAATGCTCCACCCTTTTATCCAGCGTGCTCCCTATTATCCTCTAGACTGTTCGACACCTCAACATCCTTCTGTGATGAAACCTGCCGCCTTCAATGCGATATTCCAACTCCCCCTCTAAAACACCTTCCTCTACCCTTCTTGGTCTACCTCTTGGCCTCTTAGTAACAGATTCAGGAAGCTGGTGAGGGACCTTTTTGCACTTTGTTTTTGTGTGTCCCTTTAAGTTACAATTACTACAATGCATCTCCCTTCCATGCCTAGTTAGCTTTCCAGATTTTTTTGGATCCTCATAAGGATCTTTTTTTTCTTTTTTTCTGAGATCTGCCAGGCCCTTTTTTATTGGGAGGGGGTTCAAGTAAAATTTTAGATGCTGGCCAATATCTTTCACCCTCTAATGGAGCAATCATCCCATTATAGCTTTGTAAGTAGGCTGCTTTCTTATAAAAAGGATGTATAAAGTCTTCAGCTTTCTTTCTCATGAAAAATATGCAGGATATTGCATGACAACATGGGATGCCAGTGAGATCCCATTTTCTACATGTGCACGTTTGTTTTTCCAAATCAACAACTAGTTCATCTAGGATAAGTCTTACTTGAAACCGTGTCATTGTTAAAGGGGTTGAAAACAGTTAATACTTTCATCCTGTGCCCTTTCCAATTTAGTAGCTATCCTAGGACATATATCATTATCAATTGCTTCCATCCACTGCCTTTTTAGTACAAGTCTTTCCATTAAAGCAGTCCTTATATCCTCCAACATGTAGATAACATGTTTTGATCTTGTTTCGATGATGTATCCATTGAAAGTTTCTGCCATTGAAAAGCACGACAGAACATCTTAGGATTCTGAGCTATAAAAGCTTCAACGGCTGGTTTAGATATCTTCCCTGTTTTTTCTAAAGCCTCACTATAACCTAACTGATTATATGATCTCACAGCTTCCCATAAATAACCCTTTATCTCATCACCTTTAAATTTAGAGTGCCAGTTCTTAAAAATGTGTCTAGCACAATTTCTATGTTCAACAAAAGGCAGAACTTTTGCAACAACATTAATAAGACCCTACAAAAATGTTTATTATATTTTGTTAATTTCCTTACATATCACATTCATTAAAGTAAAACTAGAAAGATGTGTACCTTTTGCTGGTCAGATATTCATGTCCAACCTTCACCGTTTGTTGTCTCCAAACAAAACTGTAAGTTCGATAAAAACCACTCTAAGGAACTGCTATTTTCACCCTCTATTGCTGCCCAAGCTAAGGGAAACATTTGATTGTTCTCATCTCTGCCAACAACAACTAGCAACATACCGCCCCAGAAAAGTTTTCAAAAAACAGCCATCCAAACATAACACCCGTCTGCAACTGCTTAAAAGACCACTTTTCAACCCATCAAAGCATATAAACAACCTCTGGAAAATCAAAGGATTTGTTGTCACCTTGGGGTCAGTGAATATGTCAAAGAAAGATTCAGGATTTGCCTTCCTCAAATCCATTAAATAGCTGCCCACCTTACCATAGTGGTCCTTCATTGAACCATGTAACAGTTTGTTAGCTTCATACTTGATTTTATAGGCTAACTTTCTCTTGATAATGACTTTCCACTTCTTCTTGACGACTTCAACAATATCCTTCCCAGGCCAGTGTGGTGTTGCTTTAAATACTTCTAACAAATTCTTAGCCATCCACTTTGACTTAAGTTGTTTATTTCTACTCATGTCTCTGTAGCAGTTGTGGTTGTTGTTCACTGACTTCACAATATAACAGTCTCTTTTATAGTCTCAAGAACCATAAAGAAAAAACTCACAGCCTGCTACACATTTCACACCTAATCTTTGACTCCTTTTCTGGTCACTAATATTGTAATTCAAGTTTCTTCCTTGAGCAACTACATACCTAGTCACAACCTCTCTAAATGTTTCTCTGTTAGCAAACCTTATCCCTACACACCATTTGAGGTTGCAAAAATCAGTAGATTCATTCACGAATAGAGCTCTATTCTTCCTTTTCTTTCCTAAAATATCATCTTCTTCACTCTCTCCAGGGGAATCAACATCACCTTCACTGTCCTCATACTCCGAAACATATTTATCTGCTTCTTTATCCATAACTGCTAAATGTTCTTTTTCTTAATGACATGTACCCTCTTCCATCTGAATAAGAGCTTCCTTAACTTCTCCCGTTATTTTCAGATTCCACTCATGTACTCCCCTAGATAAGGCTTGCCTTGTCAAGCCCTATAGCTTCAACCCATTCTTCATCACTTGTATCACTTTTTTCTCCATGAAGCGGCTCCATATAAGGGTGCCCAGGTTGTTCATAGTCTTCATCAAACCTTGGATTTTGTTCTCCTCCTTCTGACATGTCATATTCCTCATCATTCTTGTGCAGAATATATATGTCAAATGTTCCAGCTTTCATGCCCAATCTTCCTATTTCTATCACATCATTATCACCAGTAATCTTATGAAAGTTTGCATGCAACTCCTCCCTAGGAATATGGTAATATAGCCAAGCGATTTCATCATGGATTCCTATCTCTTTCGGTAGAGTGAAAAGCAATCAAAAATCCAATTTATCAGGATCTATATTGCCAACAACAATTTCTCTCCCCCCCCCCCCCCCCCCCCCAATATATTGGATGTGAGGAGTTTTATTGAACTCCCCTCCGTGATGATAGTTCAGCTTAAACATCTCTCATAAATAAATGTGATGGAAGATTGTTTGATCAGTTAAGAAGATGCATGTAAAATGTTAATCTCCCATAAATAAATGTGATTGAAGATTGTTTGATCCTTTAAAAAGATATGCAGATTAATAATGAAGATAAGGACAATCCCAACTTACCCATGAGAGGTGATATGCCGGCCTATATATCAATCTACTTCTTTAATTATGAAATGTTACCATCATTAGATTATCATGAATAATAATTGTTTGCTTTAGTTTGATGTGAAAATTCGTGGATATGTATATACATATACACCATTGAGAGCTTTTATTCCTATTTAATGGACACATACACATATTTAATACGTAGTATATATTAAATATATTTGATCATGATTTGATCAAAAGTACTCCCGAATTCAAAATCAGTGTTTGGGTAAATAGTATTTGTGCCTTTTCACTATGTTTCAAATCACTAAATAACCAACGTATATTTCAAAAAAAAAAGGGGAAAAAAAACTAAACTACCAACAAAGCATCATAGACGAACACACTGCTACTAACAAACAATTGAACAATACTACAAACGAACATCATATACATAATAATCAGTAAATTAAATCGACCACCTTAACCCTAATAGTAATTTCTAGCCCGTCTATTATGAAAAAAATCAAAATATTACATAATCGGTATTGACCCTCTCTTCGACGGCTATTTCATTTCTGCGATGTGATATGTCCATAGCAAGATAACAGATGAAGTGTTGATTGCGATAAGATTAAGATGTAAAGAAGAAAAAGATTTTTTAATAACAGAGATGGAAGAAGAGTTGTGCGAATGGAGAGGAAGTTGAGTGGGAGATGAAGAGAACGTATGGGGAGGTGGGCTGAGATGATATTTGAAACGGAATAGTTAACCCTATTTCATTTAATTTATTTTTATGAACAAGTTTACATGTTTGGATTGTTTTTATTAATTCCTTCAGTATGGATTATTAATGTAGAATCATTAAAAGTAGGGATTATTAGTATGAATTTCTCCTATAAATTTTGCATATATAAATAAAACGACCCAAACATCGAGATTTCACGTAGCAATTACGGGAGTCCATACTAAGCCCCCCCCCCCCCACCCACCCACAATTATTATGGTACGATGTCGCTATTACATTTTCTATTTTGGTAAGGCATTGAACATGTTTTCCCTAGTTGTGAGTCCCGTTAATATTCAAATTCGCCTAGAGAAAATCTCAATCTCATTGAATATTCAAACATCACACATGTGCCATACAAGATCGAGTAAATTTTTGTTTTCCATTCTTGTGTATGTGTATCCTAAAGTTCATGATTTAAATATCATAGTTAAGTGCAAATATATACCAAATTTAACATACTTCCATGATTAAATATCATTGTATATGTATACATAGAGACACACCTCTAATGTCATGGATACGAAATTGAACATCAAGGATCATCTATATAACTTCAAAATGCTAGGATAACATGAATACATGATCAAAACAGGTTCATAACTATAAAGGTAAAAAAAGTCAAAGCAACACCCATATGGCCAACGTTGGTTGATAGGACACCTGAGGCATGCATGATTCCCTGCAACGTTGCACATTCAACAGCGAATGAGTATTGAATAATGAAAATGAACAAACAAAAAAGTGACCTATTCATTTAGTTGTCCAAAAAGCAATGACATAGTTTTACATGACAACAACCTTAGCTTCTTATGAAGGATTTATGAGACTAAGTTTCAAACCAATCATCGCTCTAGATTTTTGCCACTTGAGTGGAGATTTCACGAGACGACAATGTGTTGAGATAGATGGTATATGAAAAGCTAGCTAGGACTTGTAACACTCTAAGTAATATCTTCTTAGTGACCCAAAAGAGACTCCAAAAGAGTTATGTGGCAAAAAACATGTGTTGAGGTTTATTCCTTCAACCCTTGGACCCAACACGTAAGCCCAAAGATTTCGAGTGGAGTGAGTGTGTGGTTATCTAGCCCAACAACTATCAGATGAATCAGGAAGCAAGAGTAATAGCAGGCAATGTAAATAGGTATTATTAACTTCGTAATAACTCCCCTAAGTACAATCTACTTGCTAAAAAGGGCACGTCGGCCGTTCGTCTTACAAGGCGATAGAAATGCTACTCGTAAGAATGCTGGAGCTAGTATGCTAAGAATAGAAAGTTGCCAACCCTTTACAACGGAATAAATGCTTCTATTTATACCCGCCAATGGGCAGGTGGCTGTAGTGACGTGGCAGCCTGTGGACCGCTGGTGTCCCAACTACCAAATCTTTAGCATTAAATGCACTTCCCGCCAGAATCTAGGTTTCCCGCCGGATTAGTGGGGACGTTCGTCCACCGGGAAGTGAGTTGGATTGCTCCAAGGGACCCTTGGGAGATATCGGCTGTTCGTCTCCTGGCCTTGGTGGATACTCACCATGTGGACTGGGTTTTCTCCGATGACTACAGGCTTGCTCTGGGGACGTTCGTCGTCATTCCTGGTGGCCCGTGGTTCTGCTCCTTGTCCCTGCATAGACGTTCGTCGGGATGAGCTGCTGGGCCTGAGTCCTCCAACACTAGACGTTCGTCCATCCCCGTGGAACATGGGCCTGTGGGCTGGCCTAGTGTTCTAACTGGACGTTCGTCTAGCAAAATGGGTTAGTGGGCCGAACCTCGGCTTGGGCCCTTAACCCAACACAAGTCCCCCACTTCTGATGTTCTGAGCATGCGCAGGACATAAGGAAGTATGAACCTCTCCGAAGTAGACGTCCGTATCTTGGTACTTGTGTTTATTGCACCTGGTGGAAGCATACGTTCGTGGTCATGGTGCTTGACAGCTGTTGACGGTTCAGGGAACGAGGTGACGGCTGATGTTGCGGCGGCGCATTTTCCCGAGGAAGCGTCATCATTACGTTCCCATCCCTTGCTCAGCGCGTGGGCCGGAATACGTCCCTTGCCACGTGTCATCCCCTCGTTGGTTTCTCCATCGGTGTTTCTCCTATAAATGCCGGGTTTTCCCTCTGACTTAGGGTTCCCAATTTCTGCTTCCTTGCTCTCAACTTTCCGCAGCTCTTCAAGTTTCCCGAATTCGGCCAACCATACCTTTGTAAGGTAATTTCCCCCCCCTGCTTCTTTTCTTTACTCTGATTTCTAGCCGAAATGACTTCGATGGAGATTTCCTCAAGTTCTGATTCCAGTTCATCGGGTTCCTCCTCGGGCTCCTCTTCTGACAATGCGAATGCACGCTCCCTGGGAAAAACTAGTGTCTCCGGAACCTCGGGTTCGGCCACGACCGTGGGGACCATCCGGGCTGATGGCGAGCCGGATGACGTGTCCCAAGATAGCGGGAGCGACGCCGGGGGCGGGGGCGCTGACGGGGCAGTAGATGTTATTGACGCAGTCCCCCTGAATGAGCGTCCTGCTGATTATGATTCCGGAGAGGAAGCCGAATCTGGTTCTGATGTGGAGGTGTATGATCTGGGCATCCCCACGGATAGGGAGCGCCACATCTGCCCGATCAGGAGTGCACTTGACCATGACCAAGTCCTCTCCCGCGTGGCCCTTAATAAAATCCGTACCTTCCTCCCCCCGCCGTTCGTCTGGAGTGTGAGAGGTGCTGAGCATGTGATGAGGAGACGTCCGGGGATGATCATGCTTCACCTGGACTCCGTTGAAGCCGGGCTGCGGTTTCCACTGCACGCGTTCTATGTGGAGTTCTTCCACTGCTTCCAGGTGGCCCCGGCGCAATTCATGCCAAATTCTTACAGATTCATATCGGCATTCTTGGTGCGCTGCAAACTTGCGGGGGTCGATGCCACCCTGGAGCTCTTCCATTATTTCTACCGCGTCACTCCTCAGAACGCCGACGGGTATCTGAGCGTGGCCGCACGTCCTGGGAGGCGGCTGTTCAAGAACTACCCTTCGTCCATCCACGACTGGAAGAACCGTTTTTTCTTCCTTCGATACGACGGGCCTCCTCTCCCTCTCCGGTGGAATGGGTACCCCCCAAAGATTGAGTCACCGGAGCCGTCCGACGATCTGCTTCTGGATGCGGAGAAGGTGTTGGAGGGTGGCGTCCGTCCTATAGCCGGATTTCTGACCTTCGAGGCACTCTCTGGGGCAGGCATAGGTACCGTCCGTGTCCCTGGACTTTTTCTACCCTTCGACGCTCGTCTCGGGGCACCGGGCGGTCCTGTCCTTCGAGGTGAGTGTCTTATTCTATTCCCCGCTCGTCTTCTAATCCTTTGTTATTTTTTGCAGGTCCTCCGCCAGACAGAGATCAAATGAATCACGCCGAGTGCCTGAAGACCAGGAAGGCCAAAGCGGCCGCTGCTAAAGCTGCGATGGAGAAGGCCAAGAATGCCCCCGCCTCGGCGTCCAACTCCTCGGTTTCTGACGCTGCCCGGCGAACCGCCGAGGGTGAGCAGCATCTGATTGCCACTATGCTGGCTCAGGGTTCCGGGGCCCCTGCTCTTGAAGCCGCCCTTCCACCGCCGGTCGTCCCGTTGAAGGCGGCTCCTCAAAAGGGGACGGAGAAGGTCCCCGAAAAGAAACAAAAGAGGGGCCGCGAGGCTGTCTCCACCGGGCCCCTGCTTGAAGACGCCGGCTCCTTGCCGTTGAGCCGCCCGGCGGAAGAGCTTTGGAGGGAAATGGCCCTCAAGGCTGGCCTAGAGCTGCCCAGCCGTTCGTCTTCGGAGGCGACAAGTGCTGCCCTGGCAGCAGCTCTTCAGGTAATTCCCTCTTGCTAGATCTGAGCGTATATACTTTTCCTTGACGTTCATCCTCTGATCCTTATTTTTTCTTCTGTCATCCAGTCCGGGCTTCTAGTCCTTCAGGCTGAAGCTGCCCGGGAGGCCGACCTGAAGGAGGCCAAGGCCAAAGCTGACGCGGCCATCGCTGCGGCCCGGGAGGCCGCTCGTCGAGCGGAGGCGGAGGCGGCCGCCAAGGAGAAGGAGATCGCCGCCCTGCGGGCAGAGTCCCGCCAGCAGCTGGCCAGCCTTGAGAAAGCTGGCTTTAAGCTTGTCCCGGTGCACCCTACTGCAGAGGGTGCCAGTCCGGAGTGGCTGGTCGATACCTCCGGCTATCGGAACACCGGGGAGTTCATGGATTCCGCCAAGGATTACTGCGCCGGAGCCTTTGGTGACGTTTTCTCTGCGGCGCTGGAAAAGATCCCACCCCGGCAGCGTCTGGCGAGCGGGGTCCGGATTCTGGAGAGCTCCCCCTTGTCTCACAAGTTCCTCTACGAGGTCGGCGACAGCTCCTTCGCCGCTGGTTACAATGAGGGGGTCAAGGCCACCCTTCCCATCTTCTCAAGGCTGCAGGGGGCCGACTTCGAGCTCGCTGCTAATACGGATGATGATCTGCTGCTCCAAGCCTTGGGGAAGTTGGGGAGGGACCAACGGCGGGAGGAAGCCAAGGCCAGAGGAGAGATTCCGGAGCCCCCGACCCCTGAGCCCGAGGCCGAGGAGGAAGAGCAGATTCCGGGAGGCAGCCGGCCTGAATCCCCCTTCTTTGTATAATGTACTTTGTATTTTTCCATTCCAACCTTTGTAATGTCCGGCCGTTAGAGCCGAGGAATATACATCTTTTTTTTTTTTTGCCCATGATTACTCCATGTTCATGATTTCTACTTGTTATCTCCCTTCCTTTTGTCCTTCGTTGTATGGAAATCCCTTCGGCGGTCCGACATGCCTCGTAGCAAGGTCAGAGTTCGAGAGGACGTTCGTATCCGTCCTCTACTTGCTTCCAGGCAAAGGCGTCCCGAAGTCAATCCTCCGTACGTATTCAACGCGTTCCGTCAATGGAGCGACGTTCGTCGGCGGTTTATGGTGCATGCTCGAAGTGTAGACATAGGAACGTATTCCTCAGCACCAGCACTTGATAACGATGTCCGCCCGTTGTCGCGTGATATGAACATTCAAACCACGCGCGGGTCGTTCGTCCGTTCTGCGTGCTCATCTGACACGAAGTGTGGAAAGGCGACGTTCATCCTTTGTGCACCATCAATGGACGTGACTTTCACTTCATCCTTTTGTGCCCATCGTTTGTAGTATAAGGAATCCCTTCGGCGCCTCGACACATCTTCACCGCCTACGCGGTCTCTGGTCAGTGGGAAGACGTTCGTCGGTAATTGCCTTGCCAGCACACGATTCAAGTATGGACTTATGGGCGTACTTCCTTGAAACAGCGCTTGGTGACGACGTCCGTCCATGTTTGCGTGATATGAGAAACCAGTGTACTGGAAGAGGGACGTCGCCAGCTGATGTGTGTGCCCTCGATCACCGCCGACGCTAGGGAAATCAAATGTCTACAGATTCCTCCGAGCCGGTGAGCCCTCCTCAAGGGACGTTCGTGGCACGGACCCGGATGTCTTTGTGTGGGTTATGCGGCGACAAAATCGAGACGCCTTAAATACCGTGGTAGGTACCGGTATCCAGGCGCCACGTGTCCTGCTTCGGTTGGGGCAATCCCGCGGTGTTGCCTATAAATACTCAGTACCCAAGTGATCCACTCACATTTCCCCTTACGCTGCACAATTGCCTTCTCTCTCTAGACTTCTCTTTTGATCGTATCGGAAACCTCGAATT